TCCTGCCGCCGTCCCCGCCCGCCGCGCCGCCGGGCCGCCAGCCGCCATCTTGGAGAGGGCGGGGGAGCCCGCGCTCGCCATCTTGTGGAGCCTCTCGCCTCAGGGGCAGCCGGTCCTTGCTGTCGCCTGTCTCCCGGGGTACCGGGCGGGCAGGTGGCCCCTCCGGGCCTAAACGACGGGCGAAGGGAGGCCTCGTCCCCGCTCGGTGGTGGGGCGGGCCCGCCTCAGGGCCAGCTGTGGGCAGGGCGGCCAGCCCCAGCCCACCGCCCCAGCTCAACCCCCCGCTCGGGGGTGGGGCGAGGCGGGTCCCGGGGGGGGGGGCCCGCCTCAGGGCCAGCTGTGAGCAGGGCGGCCAGCCCCAGCCCATCGCACAGGCTCAGACCCCGGGCTTGGCCCACATTAAAATAAGCTTTAGTAAAGTGAAAACAGAGGAGCTTGTCTCCGGATCTCCCTGATGGGCTGCCGCCTGGGGGAAAAAACAAATTCTGCCTGATCGCTGTATAGGTTATAAACGTTTCAGATCATTTGCTTCCCATTGTGTCTTCCTTCTGGAGCAATGCTAGCTCCGGTTATAAGATGTGCGGTCGGGGAGTTATTATTCAGATATGCCTCTCAGTTCGTTTCCACAGCCCTCAGGGAGCAAATTATGTCAGTAACTCAGATCCCTCTTTAACTTAAAGGATTCTGATCATAGCATATGAATTTCTGTGTAGCAAAGCAGCCCGACACCTAGATTTAAGTATGTAATTATCTTCACTTATTTTATTGGGGGAGGCGAGGTAGCACGCTTGCCCATTTCAAGAAATCGTAGGTACTGCATGCCCTGACAGTCCATGCCAGAGGAGGGACGGCAGCGTCTGCCACAATGGAGCCCAGGGGCTCTATCCATCACACTAAACTACAGATCTCTCTTCTGTTAATTCAGTACTTCGAGGACGCTGTGGGGATTTTTATAATTCTGTCCGACTGAGGGCACAGGAACTTGTTTCTTTATAGCAGCCTTTAATGTTCTTACTCATTGCAGAGCCATGCCACAAATCTCAGTGGTTTGGGGGTATTACCTGTGCTCCTCAATTCAACTTAGCTGATAAAATGCTTCTCCATTCATCCTGGCCTTAAAAAACATGAGCAACAATTTAAATTGCAGAAATAAGTGGCAGGAATGTACCTATGGGAATATTCAAGTAAGCCATTTTTTCTCAAAAGCATAAAATCTCCCAGTTAAACTGCAGAGGTTTGGAGACATGCCTGATATGTTGTTCTGCAATTTCTCTCGGTGCTCAGGGGTCCTGTGCTTTGTTCTCTGGCTGAGATAATTCATATTCTCCTCCAAAAGCTTCTTGACTTGCTCTACTCTCTCACAGTGTTATTGCTTGCAGCCACGGAATACAGATGATTGTTTTTATTAGGCAGTGAAAACTTACACTGTCTTGTAAACAGAAGAGGACTAGAACTGGCTGAAGAACAAGCATTTCAGCAGCTGGAAAACTTGGTGGTTGTTTTAATTTACCTGCGTATTAGAGCAAAGAGGGCAGGGGTGGCTAAGCCCTAAGGAGCCTCATGTGCTTCGGTGACCCAGCACAGATGTGGCCTCACAGTCTGTGGCAGCATGTGGGGGTGGAGATACACGACCACAAGCACCTGAGACTGTGCGGGGTGACCTCGGACACTTCCAAGGGGCAAAGCACCTTAGGCAGATGAAGCCAGGATGCCAGGGCTCCCTCACAAAGCTCCTGTATTGCAGTCACCACATTCTCCCCTATAACCATGTTACTTTGCGGGAAAGCGGTGGCAGTTTCGCAACTGCAGATATTGTTGCATTTTCTGAAATACGGCTGATCCCTCTCTGAGAAAACAGCTGTCATGTAGTGCGGAGAGCACCCTGGGAGAGGCAAGCGAGAATGCAGATCCCCTCTGAGATCAGTCCACGTCTCAGCAGCAGGCAGTGTCTCCTGAGCGACTTGAAAGGCTACGCAGGGACTGCTAACAGCCAAGCAGCCCTTAAAGAGAATCAGAGCAGCACAAACTATGTACATTAAATCCACATTTCCACATAAAAGAGGATTTATTTTCAACAATATTAAAAAGTGGTTTTTATTAGAATCTGTTGTCTAAGCAGGCAGGCAAAAAAAAGGTTTTGTGAGCTCCCTCATTTTTATGAAAGCTGGCTGGCGGGTATAAAGCAGCAGCTGATGAGCTTATTGAGCAGGAAGGGAGGTTCAGGCTGTGAAACTCGATGTGTAAATTAGCTTCTTGCAGCACTTGTCTCTGCGCCTGTCACTTGCACCAGTGTCCCTGTCTGTTATAATCCTCCCAGTTCATTTGGCTAAACATTAGTGACATGCTAGGGACAGCAGCCAAAAAAAATGTTGCCTGTAAACATACTGGCTATTAACTGTTGAATGAGAGGTCTATCAAACTAAACAGCCATCCAGCAGGAGCACTGGCTGGTCTTTTCCTGCTGTGGGAAAGTTATTTTTAGTTAAGGTGGCTGGATTATTTTTCATTAGCAGGACCTGGGGAGAAAGCAGGAGGAGGGTCCACTGCCTAAAAACTGACATAGGGAGCCTCGCTCCCTGTCTAGACCACACTGCAGCATCCTTCCTGCCCGCTGCCTCCTCGGCAGAGCAAGCGCTAGCAGTACGGATTAGTCTTTCGCTCAAGATTTGAAGACACAACTTTTTAGCGGTTGTTCTCTCCTGTCAAACGATGTTGTCATGCCAACTCAGGTAATGACAGTGAATATTGAACTGCCGATCTTGGGCTCCCAGAGGCACTGTCTCCTGGATGAATTTCTGATGAGTTGATATCCCAGCTAGAACCGAAACATTCAAGGCGGTCTGCAGCTCTCTGATGCAGCTGTCCTGAAGACTGCTGTCTTGAGTACCTTTGCACCACCCAAATTGAATAAGGCCTTCATTTTCACTACCGAGGAGTATTCACACCAGAGAGCCCTGACATAGAAATAATAGGGAATTTATGATACATAATGAAACTTTGTGCTTGCCATGTGAGAAATCTCTTTTTGAGTCTTGTTTTGGATCTCTTTTTAGTATCTTATCAAGAACCGAATGTGGAAAGCTAGTATCTGAAGAAATTAATTAACACAGCTGAGCGGAGTACACAGGCTTTGCAAGAAAGAGCAGCAAGGAGAAAAACTATGAAATTCATTAATGAAAAACGTTAAGGGATATCTGAGAAACAGAGAACCCATCTCCAGCTGGATAGTTGTAATACTTGTCTGGCTGAGGAGCTGTATGGCACTGACCTCCCTGTGACGGGTGCCACTGGAGATGCCGGACCCCTGCCCGCTGCCGGCAATCGGATCCTCCCCGCTATTGATGCACATACCCAATTTTCGCAACGATCTCTAGTGTTTGCATGGCAAATCCTTTCCAAAGCACTCTGCAAACACTAACCAATGAATTCAGGGCACCCGATTTGCCCAAGGTTTCCTACCCTTCCAAAGACCTTAATTGCTTTGAGCGGCGTTGATTTTTAAAGCGTTTCACAAAATGCAAGTAAATCTCTCCCAGCACAAAGCATCCCACTGATACCAAATCATTCCCAGTGCTCCAGGAATCTGATTACACGGAGCATGGCAACTTAGCCTTGCCATTGAAAAGCAGAACAACAGCTTACAGAAATCTTTTCCCGACTTAATTTAATAGTTGCTTTAACTGCAGTCATGCAAACAAACATCCTCTTCCCACCACTTTCTTCTTTTTCATGTCGTTTTGCTACAGGGGTTATGGTTTAATTTACATCAAACCTAACAGTCGCTTTAACCTTGTTCCCTGTTCAGCCGCTCCCAGCAGCAAAGCTGGGCGCCCCAGCAGGACTGGGCGCTGGGGCAGCCAGGCTGCCGGCTCCGGGCAGCGGCTCGGCTCAACCAGCTGCCAGACACTGGGGGTCAGTGTTAGACCGGCGATGCAGCGCCCACAGCCACGCGTGGGCAAAGCGGCTGCCGGCCACGCAGCTCTCCCCGCCGGGGGCGAGGGGCAGCGCTCACGGGGGCTTGCGAGGCTGTCGCGGTCCGTGGAGACCACATCACTGCACAGTTATCGTGGAAGAAGCCCGACTCCCTGCCCAGCCTTATTGCCCTCCTGCCAGTGGCCCGATGCCCGGTTTCTTTGCTGGGGAACCCCAGGGAGCCGCAGCAGTTGCGTTTAGCAGCTCCGACAGTCTGCTATTCCCAGCTGGCATGGATCTCGGAAACGAGCAGCTTCTCCCTATTTCCTCCAGCCCACCCTTTCTCTTCCCTGGCTGCAGGTAGCCAAGCCGCCTGTCCTGGCATTGCCGCCCTGTCCTGGCATTGCTGCCCTGCCTGGCTGTCAGCAGGACAAGGTGGGAACACCCCTCCTGCATTCAGCAAGGCTGGACTCCATCCAAAATTTGAGCCCAGGGCACTCTCAGCATTATTTGCCTAGTTAGATTAAAAAAAGGTATGCTCTTCCTCCATCCTAAGTGCCAGTAAACATCGGGCTTGCCTAGCCCTAGCTAGATTTTCCACCAGTGACAGGTAACATTTTGGTAAATGTTGTACAGTATTTAACATTGTTTCTTTGGGGAGATTAAAAATGCTTTGAGTAAATGCAACTCTCTTCCATACACACCTGACAATGATCGAAGAGGCTGTTTTACACAAGACTCATTAAAAATAAAACCACAATCCTTGAGGTCCCTTCCAACCTGGTATTCTATGATTCTATGATTTCAGCAGCTTAAATTACTTGAGCCAGTGTAATGGGATAATATTTGATGGTAAAGTTTATTGAATTTCCACCACTATTATGTTGCTGCTAAAAATATAAAGGATTCTTTAAAGCCTGCTTGGTGGTCTCCAAAGGGAGATGGTTGGAAACCTGCCTCAAAACCTGCCTGCAGAGATTGCTTTTGGGATGGGAATGAATTATCTTCTTCCCTCTATTGTCTGCAGGTAATAGCAAATTCTTTCTGCTCCCATCAGAACTAGTCAGTCCCTGCTAGCAATGCAAAAATAGCACGAGCCAAGTCTGCAGCTGTTGGGAAAGCATGCTGCTCCATTGATGAGTTATACCCATCGAGGATTTGTTCTGCTT